CCTCATGTAGACTCGACCTAAGTCATTAAAATGTATTTCAATAAGAAAGAAAATAATCAAAAACTTTCTGGATTTGAGGCAGATAAACTCAATGAACAACCTTTCTGATCTTGCTGGTCATCTTCTTTTGGGTGCTATTCATTTCCTGCAGTTAACATGCACTCAAAAAAATCCACAACACATTGTTTAAAGTTTATATATACTGCTCACTGCCATTACTGAAATATAACTAACTGCTGTAACTCTCATGAGGATTTTTTTCAGTGCCTGCAAAATAGGAGGCATTTCCTCTCGAGGAAGAGGTCAGCATGGTATGTGGACAGTTTAAGTCAGGTGAATTTATAAAAATCATACAGAAGACATGAGAATGGGAGATACTGTAAACCCCCAAAATATTAGATTGCAGTTTACACTATGAACATCTGAGAACCCATGTTTAGCGTAAAAATATAAAACAATGAAAACAGTGCAAGTAGAACAGAAAAGCTACATGTTTGTGGCTAGTACTAAAGCTGCTTACTGTTAAAAGGCTTTCACAGAACAGGCTGTTTGGGTTCAGTATTCAAGTTAAAATTCACAACTTAATATGTGAATGTTTAACCATGCAGCCATAATAACTTCTAATGTTCTTTCAGTTAAAAAAAGTAACATCTATCATACAGTGCAAGATATGTATATAAATGTACAAATATGTTGTTGTGAGAAGGAGGACATTTTAATAATATAATACGATGATTCAACTCTGCTATTGCTTTCAGATGTCCAACACAAAAGACCTCGCGCTTCTCAAAAAACCACTGTTGCTACCAACATTATGCCCATAAGTTCTTATCATCATACTATTGCTTCCCGTGGTTACACTACTTCCTCTCAAATTCACAGCTTTCTACAGCTCCTGTCTACCTATGGGATTCTTAGTTCAACTTAGTTCAGGAAAAACTGCTTACTCCTTTTTGACCATGCTATAGAGTGCAATCCTGGACCTGGCATGGTAATATCTTGCTGGCTGTACTCTTTTCCACTTGCAGACAACCTCTTTCTAGGTAGCATTGCAAAGATATCTCTGTGAAACAAACAATTTCTACTCGTTTGAGAGGGGTTTTTTTGTTTTGTTTAGCTGAGTTCTTACCACGATCCATATTTTATGTGAACTTATATTTTAAATAATGTTTGCATCATTTCTTTTTAAAAAATTGTGCTTTCATCACTGTCAACTCTGATCAACCCCATATCCTTTAACGCAGATTTCCAAAATGCATTGCAAAGCAACTTCCCTACAAAGTGAAACAGAACTTGAATATACGTTTTATAAAGCCAATGTATGTGTTTGGTTACAAATACTGAAGTATTTCTCCAGTATTTCTTTCAAAAGAGTTTTTTAAATACTTGTAAAGTTGGATTTGAGAGAGAGCTGATCCCTATTCTGTGAAGCAAGCTCGCGTCATTAGGATGACAAAATCAAGTCTTATTGTGGCAAGAAGAAACATCATTTAGTGTCAACAACACACTGCTATTGATTTGAACTCCTCCTTGCCTCACGGGTGAAATAACGAGCTCCTACACACAGACTCTCTAAGCATACCAATAGAGGAGTGAGGCAAGAAAAATACTAAAAATGGCTGTATTAAAGATACAACAGGAAATTTATGACTCATGAGATGTAAATTCTTTTATCTGTATGGAATAAATTGAAGAAGAGCTTAATATGGCTTCTGCGATTTCTATGGAGTTAGATTAGAACAGAAATACACCTACCAATAATACACCAGATTTAGGCTTCCCAACCAGCATATCTCCTAACTGCTCAGCAACCTCTGTGAAACAAGCCAGCATCATTTTCATTATCTAACACATTTACTATTCACGTTTTTAAAATGACACCTTATTTTAGCATTCTGGTTGGCTGTTTCAGTCTACGATGAGGAACTCATTGAGCATACAGCGTAAATTATCCTTTCACATTACTGGCAGGATCTCTTTAAAACAGAGCTAAGAAACAGTCTGTCAACACAGATAGGTTCACTCTTTTTCTATTTCTGAACAACAGACTGCAATTTTCAGAAAAAAAAAATCTGTATCTTTCTTCTTGAAAGATACAAAAAAGAATAAACCCATAGTTAGTCATGCAACATCGATATAAATACTACTTTGCACATTAATAGTTCTTTTCCTAGAACTTAAAGCTATGCCTTTAAGCAAATTTGCAAACCAAAAAAACGTAGTGAGATGAAATACTACTTATGTTGTCTAATTGCACCCAAAATTTAAGCTAATTTCAAACACTTTTGTAGCACCAAAGTTAGCATGCTAGAATTCCATGGTCCATCTCTTAAAACGTAAAGAAAGTAATATACAAGGCATAAAAAATTATTCCAAGATAACTCCCTTTTAAAAATACTAAAGTGTAGGGAACAAAGCTATTTTCATACCACATCCAGAAAATGGATGAGGTGTGAAAGAAATCTCTTGTTTAATGTGACCTTTGGCTGTACTTTCACTTGTCATCATTATGAAGTAGCTACTTTCAGTGCCAACACATAAGCTGCGTTATATTACCCTATAACAGTAGTAGCACGTCTTTCAGGAAGTGTTTCATACTCTGAGAAACTGGTGGTAGAATGCATTGACAGCACTTACCTTTGTAACTGCTTATAATAGGTCTTATTCAACAATAAGACCTCATTTTCACAAGGAAATAACAGTGACTGTACTAAATTTCGTAGAGCATGTCGCATAAACTAGTATATGTTGAGGAACTCCCTTGGAGTTCTCAGCTTCAGTGAAAACATTCAAATAAGGAGAAATGTAAATTTCAGATTGGAACTCTGCCCCAAATAATAATATTCAGAGCTTTGTTACTGTGCACAGACCAAAAATACTGCATCGTTAAGACCTGCAACATACTTGACTTTTCTTAACGTATGTAATTAAGAAAATATTTCTGGAAAGCAAATGAATTTGAAATTCAAGTAAGATTAATAGAATAAATACAAAAAATTTACGTTTTATACAATGGTAGCAAGCTGCAGAATTAGAATCAGTAGCTATCATTATCTAAAGCTGTTCATCTAACACCGTAGAGAGAAAAACCATTGATACATACTGTACACACATTTTTATCCATGTAGATAAATCAAAGGAAACAGCTTCCTTTAAGGCAAGCATATGAAGATACTAAAGCAAGATACAAATTAAATATTCATACATTCAATATTTCAAAATAAGGAATTTGGATATACACATGCATAATTTAAGTTCTATAGTGAAACCTGTCTACAGAGGCCATTTCTACTGTATTTCAACAGCATTGAAACTTGAAATGTACAATGCAGCCTTTCCATGCTGTGTTAAAACTTTAAAGTATATAGTAATTCATTTCAAGCACTAAACATAGAATAAAGGCCACCTTATGCACACGGCACTTTTGCAGGGGAGCTGCTGCTCTGCCCTATTCCTTACGGCTCTGAAACAGGGCTGTCAGCCACAGCGCTCCCCTGCAAGGTGGCTTCAGACTGCCCAAGGAGGCGCTCATTGGGAACTGAGCTCAAGCAGGCAACTCCAGGTAAGAGGCTCACCATTCCTGCAAAACCCACCCCTCCGAATTGACCCGAGTCAAATTCCAACCCCAGGCACCCGTTTTAACTCCACAGAGCTGGTGCTCATACACGAAGCCTAAAATTGGCCCCTTACGCTGTTTTTATGCATTCACTCCCGCCTCTTCAGAGAAAAAGATGAGATTTCAAACCTTTTTAATTGGCAAAAGAAAGCAACACAAAACCAGACTTCACAACAGTACCTTGTGCACTAGGAATGATTCTTCGTGAATGCAGAACCTGAGAGCAGTTTAGATACAACACAGAGATGCTAAATTCTTGGAGCTTATAAATTCCTATGCATGCAGAAAACATCATAGGGGTAAAAAACCCCACCACCCACTTTCCCCTCTCGACACCTATCTTCTTCTGTGTGTATCTAAAGATACTACCATTCCTCCCCATGTATTTAAAACCTTGCTGCTAAAAAGGAACCCTTCATATCAGTTATTAATGTGAATATATTATTTTCTTTTTAGAACTGAAATGTATTAGTTCAGATATCAAGAGTCTTGTTTAAGAAAATGCCTATTTTATTTCGACAAAAATATCTCAAGTCAACTTTAAGAATAATTAAAGAGTACTTAATAAGGGAAAAATAGAGCTATTCTGTTTCCACACGTTTTAAAGTAAACATTTATCTTTGCTCCTTAAAGGTCACTCATTTGATCTTGACACATCTATGAAATAATAGAAGCAAAATCTAAGTAAGTAGAAAAGTGATATTAAGCAATACAGAGCTAAACAAAATTAGTATCTACATGGTAAATTACTTCATTGAAAACCATCTATGGATTCTGCAAAGAATATACTTTTGCCTTAGAGCTAGTACTTTAATTTTCAAGAACCAAGAAAAAAAAAAAAAATCAAAACTAGTCAGTAACAATGCAGCGTCGAAAAGCAATAAACTCAAAATTAAGTTATAAATAATTTAAAGCATGTCATGAAGATGTATTAATAATTCATCAGATAAATAATTTACTAAATAATCAAATAAATAAATAATGAAATACATAAATAAATCAGCAAATAAATAATTCTGCAAAATAACCTAAACAATAAGTCACTAAAACAAATGACAAACCTACAAAACTACAATGATTTTCTAAATTCTGATAGTTTTAAATAAACAAATGTATATAAACTAGATCAATCTTTGGTGGATAGAGAAATATTTTTCACTGCTATTGGTAAATTCCTGATTACACTGCACAAGGATACAATTTTAGATTTTACAAGAGTGCAGATTTTCCCTTGTAAATTATTAACATGATTGCTACAATACATCCTGCTCTGTATTTTACATGTAATCCCTTTATGTTGCTCGTTTCCCCCCCCAAAAATGAAAATCTCTTTACAACATTCTTAATTCACGTATATTTTTTTTTTCCTGGGTGCAGTACTTACAATACTGCAATAGCCTTCTTGGTGGTTCTCTTACTATCTTCTGCAAACCTTCAGAAGTTTTGCTGCAGGGGGAAAACAAGTAGAATAACCTTAATTATTACAGATGGTATCTCATTCATTAGCGGATGACAACATTTTATTTGAAAGCACAAGAAAAGCTGTTTTATAATTCTACAAAGCAACTTAATGTGAAACAACCATTACAGTTTGCAGACTACCAAAAGTTTTTAGAAGTCTTTGGTGGAACGAGTTCAAGCAGACTGAGGCCTGTTTCTTGTATTTAAGCTGACACACAATCTGTGCAAACTGGCACTAATTCAGATGTAAAGACAAACCACGAGAAGGACAAAATACTTGGCTGACATCTAATGTTATCCTTGATTTTGGAAGTTCATAGTCCTTGAAAGAATACAGTGAGATCATTTAATATCCACTATCTAAGTACATTCACAATTTAATTAGAACACTGCACTCCAAAGCCAACACTGCCACCACAAAGGTCAAAATCCACTCATCTCCTGCATCAGTTTTCATTCTCCATTTATTTTAACAAATAACATTGACAGTCACCATAGTTTTCTTCAAAGTGGTATTCAGAAAATATAGCAGTTAAAGAAATGTGCCAGAAGTGTAATCATGTCATCAATTCTTATCCATCCTGTCAAAAAGGTTTATTTGCTTTCTTCTATAACACACATTACAGGAAAGAGTGAGACATGGTTTTATAAACCATGCCACTGATGTGGATTCTTGATCTCTGTACAGGCCTGTAAAACTGAAGGAATACATCAAATCTGAGGTTATATTTTGTACGTGTGTATGGTTTTTTGCTACTTGGTTCAAAGGAAAACAGAATGCAGTGTTGTTTATACCGGTAAGATCTCAGTTGATGGTGTTGCTGTATTCCAGCATTTAAAAGCATAAAGGATAATTTACTCTTAAAACTACCTGGGCACATTATATTTAACAAGTCTCAAATTCTCTTTAGGGATTATACTAAGGAAACACTTTGCTTAATCATAAATTTTATATTTATCTTGGCTAAACACCCTCCTTTGGATAGACTGCCATGTTTTGTCAAGAAAAATCAACACAGTGGAAATGAAGTACTTGTTATGTTGTGTGGTCATTCAAAAGAGTATGTAGAAGTAATGTAAATGTGCACCAGCGCTGCTGATAATTTCACGCTCTCATACACTCATTTCAATTTGCTTTAAAAAGGACTATTCCTCCTGGCTAAATATAGTCATCATGAAAAACCATACCTCCCCTTCGAGCTAATAACACTGCAAGCCCCAAAACACAAGAGTACAAAAAACTTCTATATTTTAAGGCACCTGAAGCCCTTTTTCCTCACAATATATGTTTCTGAAGTGGGACAAGTGAGACTAGGTTTTTTTGCTAAGGTATTCTCTTCTAGTGCCCAGATTTCTGTTTGGAAAAGACAATTCATTCCCACATCATTCCTGCAAATCCCATCCACCCCCAAAACAAATCATACATATCCCAAATCCTTCTTTTTTAAAGTAAGAGATCCTGGTAAAAGCAATATATACTTTCACACTTTAAAAGGTTTTGAGGATTACTGGGATATACAATGGTGCAGAATCATCCTGAGGTTCTGGAATCAGACCTTCTCTAGGAAGTACCACTTGGTCATAAATCATCTTCATTCATCTGCAGCTCGGCAGTCTCTGGTAGCAAAGTGATTTTTCACCAGTGGGTTACAGTACAGCTAAAACTGTAACTACAGTCACCGATGTCTTAAAACCACATTTTTTCCTTCCTTTTAAAATCTGCTTAGTTTTTAATTACTTTCATGTTTAATTTGGCCCTCTAATCAATGGTTACAGAACTGACCTCCTCATACAACTATTTCTGTCGAAGTTAGAGGGTCATAATTCCCTGCTCAAATAGACATGTAAATCATATAAAGAAAGGACAGAAAACAAGCAATGACCAGCCACCCTTCTCTCTCTTGCTATCAAATGCGAATTCCATCCTATACAAGGGGTAAAAGACAGAAACTGAACTTGATTCCATTCCCCTGTTCTGACACAGCTGGTCCCCCAACCCTCAAACATAGTATAGGTGCCTTTACTCAACAGATCATGCAAAAGACTGGTGAAGAGAGGACTAAAGCAAAAGACAGTGCCATTCAGGTGTACTTCACAGAGCAAGAATATCAGAAGTAGAGTAAGTGTGTGTGTTCTGTACTCTGCCCGGGCTGAGAAGCTGAATGCTACAATAAGGAGGCCACCTTGCTGGTACTCGAGTTAATTTGGGTGATAAAGCAAGGAACTCTACTGTACCACAAACCCATAAACAAATTTTAGATATTTACAATGGCAAAATTAAAAATAGGGTTACAGTAAAAAGCACCGAGCAAGAAGATATTCTATTCTCCACCTTTTGACACTGCCCTCATCAGAAAGTTTCTTAGTTTGCAGGTACAGATCAAAAGAAACCGCATACTGCTGCTTCTTCCCTTTGGGGCACTCACAAACATAGGAACCAGAAGAAATTTTAGAAAGAGCTTACAATATAATCTCAAAATTTAGGACGGGAAGTATTTTTTGTTTAATGTTCAGGAGAAAACACAGGGGAAAAGAGAAAGGCTGGACAGGCATGCTTAACCAAATCACAGGTAATGTAAGGTACTGACCACTATATTCTGATTCAGGTTTCAAGGATTCTTTGAGTTGTTATGAGTGACATGGAATATTTTGCATTATCAAGGAAAACAAAACCACCAAACAACACACAAACCTGCAATAGATTATTCTATTCAGGAACTTAAATAATATGTAAATCCTTTCCAGGCCAGATGCCTCATTCCTCTGCCACTCTTCCCTCCCTCTATTTATTACAATTAATCAATTAAATTAAAAATTATCTGTTTGGTCCCCTTTACATAGAAAGATACTTTTGTGAATCAGTACAATACTTCATTAAAAAAAAAACAACAACAGAGATATATTAAAAATTTTAATCATAAAAAGCAAAGAAGTGCTTGCTATACATATTGTGTAAGTCCAGCTAAAACCTGTAAAAGTAGCCCAGTCTTAAAATCAGTTATAGGATAATTTGAGTAAGTTCCTGGTAAGAACTTTGAGCATTTCTTGATTAATTTTTTAACCAGCTTCTTCCAATTGTCTCTTAGTAAAAAATAAATTTTAAAATATTAAAACATATAGTAAAATGTTAAATCCCAAACTACTGACTCAACTGCTCTCAATACAACACATAGCTCATTTGACTGTTATGACCCACGTTTCCTAGTCGATTTTTAGATAAAAACAAGCAGATTACTAGCAAAGGTTTATCTCAAATTCCCACATGTACAGCATGCCACATTAAATATATGCAAATCAACCCCTTTCTCCTCTAGTTTTTTTGAGCTGACAACTCATATGACCTGAAGCCATGGTTAACGATTACAATTATTTGACTTTCATATTTATACAATCAGTCATCAGATATGCATGTTAATTGATTTTAACAGATAGTTTTGTATTCTAATGATCAACAGTAAGCGCACATTTTACCAACCTCTTGATTTATAAGAAAATAAAACTTGTATCAGTTTTCACAATTAACCCTTCATTCTATTGATTTGCAGTATTCTTTGCAGACTTCTCCATGATACGTTAACCTGGAAATACTCCAAACTATGGAATCTTTATTTTGGTAGCAAAATTTCATTTTTCCAATTAAGGACACTCTTATATTGTGTTTAAAAAAAGACAGTTACTACCCTATTTAAACAATGCATTGCCTATTAATTAGAAATGATGAAACATAATTAATGTTTAGATAAATGGACTGGGCAAAAAAATTAATTTACAGTTATTTCATATTCACATTTTGCTACTTAAAGTTCTTTTCTCTTTTTCAAAGAACCTTAGTCATGCACTTCTTGATTCTAATAAGCCCTCAAATGTCATATACGTGACAGAGTAAAACCCTACATTTAAGATCCTTATTTCTCAAGTAACATGCTTAAGGCCAAAGCACTCCTCTATTGCCATCTCTAAATGTATTACTGAACCAGTTACTTTTTTTTAAATGGCTGAAAAATTATTCTTTGCAATTGCATTCTTATTCCAGATGCCCTATTTATTGAAGCATCAAATACAAAATTACAAACTGCACAGATTTACATGAGAAGGACTGACCACTTTGTAAGTTTATACAGTGTGCAATCGTCATCTTACACAATTAATGGTGGTTCTATAAGAATATTCATATAAAGGAGAGTGGCTATTGCATCTTACTCTCAAAAAATCAGATCATGTCTTATTCCATGGAAGGGCTCTCCCAATTTAGGCCTTAATCGTTGCTGGACTAAAGGTTTGTGCTCCAATTTGGTAAAGCAAGAGCTGCTGAATCCCTTTCTTAGCATATTTTAATACCGATACAGATATTTTAATTTCTGCAAAATACAGAATCTTTCTACTTTCTGAACTAACTAAATGAGGTGCTGAGTCTGTTCATCTTCTATCCAGGTAAGTGTCACACCACTCCAAGTTCTGCTACCATTCTCTTTTTGGCTGTCTGCTCCAATAAATTTCAAATGAAATTTATCCATTATGAGATTTTGAGATACATTCTCCAGAACAAAAAGCAGCATAGAGACATTAAAGCACTCATCTCAGATATATAAGCTGATTCAAGTTCCTGTGACATATCACAGACAGAAGAAACTTAAAGCCATGCTATCACAACCGTGAACAAGCACCATAGCCTCTAAAACACTATTTAAGGAATTTTCTGATTTTTAAGTAGTCTTGATTTCACACTGAACACGAGAGAGGTACTGAATATATGATAGGATTCTGTTGCTTTCTTAATAGTTATTTTCCTTTAAATAAGGTCTGGCATCATAGCAAATACTGATAATGCAAATAAATTCTTGTTAATTTTTCCCCTATTGGCAAATAGCTTCTTGGTGTTCAACAGATCTTGATTTCACAGAATCACAGAATGGTCAGGGTTGGAAGGGACCTCTGGAGATCATCTAGTCCAACCCCCCTGCCAGAGCAGGGTCACCTACAGCATGTTGC